CTGAGTTTGATAATTTCGTGTGACTGGCAAAGCAAATTTTATCTTGCTTTTAGGAAATACACAATGAAGTACTGGGCTGGGCACAGTGGCTCACGCCTATAATCCCAGCACTTTGGGAGGTCGAGGTAGGTGGATGACAAGGTCAGGAGATTAAGACCATCCTGGCTAACACGTCAAAACCCCATCTCTACTAAAAATACAAAAAATTAGTCAAGCATGGTGGCATGCTCCTGTAGTCCCAGCTACTCAGGAGGCTCAGGCAGAAAAATCGCTTGAACCCAGGAGGCAGAAGTTGCAGTGAGACAAGATGGCGCTACTGCACTCCAGCCTGGGGACAGAGCAGGACGGAAGGACGGACGGACGGAAGGACAGATGGAAGGACAGACAGAAGGAGGGAAGGAAGGAAGGGAAAGAAAAGAAAGAAAGAAATGTCAATGGCAGCACTGTCAGGAGAGGAAAGTGGAACCCAACTTAAGAGCACACTAATAAAGGAAAGGATGAAGGTGACTGGATGCATCCCTCCGCACACAGAGCTGTTAAGAGTGCATTTTGCTGCACAAGCCAACACGTTGCTGAATGACACACACAACCTGATATGCTATTTGCATCTATCTTTAAAGATTCAAAACAAGTCTGCACATAGCACAAGAACACACAGTATGTGATGAAAGTAACAATTAGGGACAGGAGAGGTACACGACAGCAGCTGGAGAGTGGTTCCCTCTGGAGAAAGAGAAAGGTAGATGGGACAGAAAGGCACATAAAGGGGACTTTAGTTGTGTCCTTTACAAACACAATGGGAGAAAGCTGAGGAAGATGAGGCAAGAGGTTAACGTGTATCATACGCAGGTACTGGCTTTATGTGGCTGGCTATCTTACCACTATACTCTTTTCAGCACTTCATAGTTTAGGATGCATGATTCTTACTGTGGTGGGAGTGTAAGATGGCACTTTGGCATCCGCATTAAGACTGTATTTACAGGCCGGGCGCGGTGGCTGAAACCTGTAATCCCAGCACTTTGGGAGGCCGAGGCGGGTGGATCATGAGGTCGAAAGATCGAGACCATCCTGGTCAACATGGTGAAACCCCGTCTCTACTAAAAATACAAAAAAACTAGCTGGGCGTGGTGGTGCATGCCTGTAATCCCAGCTACTTAGGAGGCTGAGGCAGGAGAATTGCTTGAACCCAGGAGGCGGAGGTTGCAGTGAGCCGAGATCGCGCCATTGCACTCCAGCCTGGGTAACAAGAGCAAAACTTCGTCTCAAAAAAAAAAAAAAAAAAAAAGACTGTATTTACATTTCACCCAAAACTTCTGCCTTTGTACTGGACCATACAGATGTGGTCACACAGGTTTACAGACACATATGCAAAGATATTCTGCATAGTGCTGTGCATAACAGCAAATGGTTGGGAGTGACCTAATTCTAGCCGCAGATTATTGTTATAGAAACTGATTCATCCCTACAGGAAATACCATGCCACCATTTAAAAAAAAAAAAAAAAAAGGATTGGGTGCGGTGGCTCAAGCCTGTAATCCCAGCACTTTGGGAGGCTGAGGCGGGTGGATCACAAGGTCAAGAGATCGAGACCATCCTGGTCAACATGGTGAAACCCCCGTCTCTACTAAAAATACAAAAAATTAGCTGGGCATGGTGGCGTGTGCCTATAATCCCAGCTACTCAGGAGGCTGAGGCAGGAGAATTGCTTGAACCCAGGAGGCAGAGGCTGCGGTGAGCCGAGATCACGCCATTGTACTCCAGCCTGGGTAACAAGAGCGAAACCCCATCTCGAAAAAAAAAAAAAAGGGGGGGGGGGCTAGGCGCATTGGCTCACGCCTGTAATCTGAGTGCTTTGGGAGACTGAGGCAGGTGAACTTCCGGAGCTCAGGAGTTCAGGAGTTCTAGACCAGCCCGGGCAATGTTGCAAAACCCTGTCCCTACAAAAAAAATAAAAAAATAAAAAAATTGGCTGGGCCTGATGGCACCCATCTGTAGTCCCAGTTACTTGGGAGGCTTAGGCAGGAGGATCACTTGAGTCCAAGCGATCAAAGCCGTGGTGAGCTGAGATTGTACCACTGCATTCCAGCCTGCGTGACAGAGCAAGATCCCATCTATTTATTTATTTATTTTTGAGACAGACTGGAGTGCAGTGGTACCATCTAGGCTCATTACAACCTCCACCTCCCAGGCTCAAGTGATTCTCCTGTATCAGTCTCCCAAGTAGCTGGGATTACAGGCACCTGCCACCATGCCCGGTTAATTTTCTGTATTTTTAGTAGAGACAGGGTTTCACCATGTAGGCCAGGCTGGTCTTGAACTCCTGACCTGAAGTGATCCATCTGCCTTAGCCTCTCAAAGCGCTGGGATTACAGGTGTGAGCCACTGCACCTGAACCCGTCTCTTTATATACCAATACAGAACAATCTCCATGATTACGTTTTAAAAAACACAAGATGAGTCAGGCGTGGTGGCTCATGCCTGTCATCCCAGCACTTTGGGAGGCCGAGGCGGGTGGATTACCAGGTCAGGAGTTTGAGACCAGCCTGACCAACATGATGAAACCCCATCTCTATAAAAAATTTAAAAACCCGAGATGAGAGCAGCTGTGCATTAGGCAGGACCATGCGCGTGTACAGGTGTACTCACAGATGCTCGTGGGGAAGGTACAAAGGAGAGGTAGGCAGGATGGGGGCAGGCCTGCGGTGTACCCACCTTCTGGTCTGCATGTGTAGCACATGCATGTTCTGTCCCAAAATTCTTTGTTAAAAAGAGGTATCGTGAAAATTTCATTATTTAAGATATTCCCATCAGTAAGTGAGGAAAAAAACAAACTAGCCAATAGAAAATTGGGCTATAAAGAGACAATTCTTAAGAGAAATACAAATGACCAACAGATGTATTTAAAAATGTTCAACTGGCTGGGCATGATGGCTTATGTCTGTAATCCTATCACTTTGGGAAGCCAAGGCAGGTGACTGCCTGAGCTCAGGAGTTCGAGAGCAGCCAGGGTAACACGGTGAAACCCTATCTCTACTAAAATACAAAAAATTAGCTGGGCATGGCGGCATGTACCTGTAGTCCCAGCTACTCAGGAGGCTGAGGCAGGAGAATTGCTTGAACCCAGGAGGCAGAGGTTGCAGTGAGCCAAGATGGCACCACTGCACTACAGCCTGGGCAAGAGAGTAAGACGCTGTCTCAAAAAAAAAAAAAAAAAAAAAAAAGTTCAATTACATTAACAAAGACCAACTAAAATTAGATGCCACAATTCTCCTAAAGTGACAAAAACTTAAAAAGCTGACTGACATCAGGGCTGGTGAGGACCTGAGAAAAAGGGTGCCTTTGTAAATGACTAGTGGGCAAGACAGGGACCTTGGAGGAGGGAATTCATTAGGACCACCTGAACTCCTGTGTACTGGGTTTAATAGCCTTATGAAGATATAATCCACATACCAACAATTCACCCATTACAATGTACAATTCAATGGCTTCTAGTGTATTCAGTTATTCAACCATCACTACAAAATTTCAGGACATTTTTATCACCCATATCTTCCCATCCCCCGAGACCCAGGAAACCACTAATCTATTTTCTGTCTATTTGCTTCTTCTGGACATTTCATAAGAATGAAATTATACAGTGGCCTTTTGTGTCTGGCTTCTTTCACTGAGCCTCATTTTTTAAGACAGGATCTTTCTTTCTCTTTCTTTTTAAGACAGGATCTCACTCTGTGACCCAGGCTGGAGTGCAGTGGTACAATCCTAACTCAGTGAAACCTCTAACTCCAGGGCTCAAGCGATCCTGTGGCCTCAGCCTCCCAAAGTCCTGGGATTACAGGTGTGAGCAACTGCACCTGGCCAAGCCTAATGCTTCAAGGTTCATCCATGGCATAGCACGTGTCAGTATTTCACTACTTTGTGTGGCAGAATAATATCCTGTTATATAGATACATATTTTATCAATTCCTCAGTAGATGGACATTTGGGTTGTTTCTACTTTTTAGCAATTATGAATAATACTGCTATGAACATTCATGTACAAGGTTCTGTGCGAACAGGCTTGTACCTGTAATCCCTGCACTCTGGGAGGTTGAGGTGGAAGGATCACTTGAGCTCAGGAATTCAAGATTAGCCTGCACAACATACTGAGACTCCCATATCTACAAATAAATAAATAAATAAATAGCTGGGTATAGTGGCATGCACCTGTGGTCCCAGCTTCTTGGGGGCTGAGGTGGGAGGATCACTTGAGCCTGGGAGGTTGAAGCTGCAGTGAGCCATGATCTCACCACTGAATTCCAGCCTAGGTCAAAGGGCAAGACCCTGTCTCAAAAAAATAAATTAATAAAATAGAAATACAATATACAGAAATAACTGCAAGTGTGTTAAAGCTTTGTGTAAAAGGATATTCTCAGAGCACTGTTTATAACTGCAAAATGTTAAAACTAAGTTTTTACTAATAAGCTCATTAAATTACCTGAGGTAGACTGTATATGGAATGCTGTAAAAATGTGTATGAGATGTAAGTTACAGAATATACACAGAATCCCACTTTGTTCAAACACAAAGCAATGTGCGCACACTTGCCTACAGACACACCTTTCCACAGCAGAGGAGAATCCTAGCGCGGCTTTCTCAAACCAAGTGGGTATCTTAAGGAGGCAGAAAAAGGGAGGAAGAACTCTGCCTTCTTATTCTGTATAATTTTTCCAAGTGACAGGATTATGAGTGCTATTTACTTTTAAAGTATTTTTCTATACTTTTCAAATAGTATTTTCAAAATAATTATAGGAAGAGGTGTCTATTTTTACTTACCACTGTACCCTTAATGTCCAAGCACTGATCAGCACTGGGAGTCAACAGATATTCAATGAAAATGTGTTGAATAGATTAATGAAGGGCAGTTATTTCCGTGCAAAAGAAAATTCTGTAATTGCTTACACTTCAGTAATATTCCTCATTTGCTGTGACTACATTACAGGCTAATAAACAGGGTAACTTACATGATTCAGAAAATACTGCACGATTATCTCATGGCCAGCCGCAGCTGCTTCCATCAAAGGAGTAAATCCATATATCGGCTCCCTGCAAGATGCGGGCCACAGTCAGATGATTGGCAGAGCCCAGTTCCGACAGGCAAAAACTTACTGCTGAAGATAAACCCAGGTTAGTGCACGAGTCACCAGTCCCTAGGTGTAGAATACTCTCTCTCCCTCTCAAGGATTAACAGGTGAGATGAGAAAGGTAACTAACTATAACACATCACCTCCATTTACTCTTCTGGTGTCTGTCCTGAGGGCTGGTCTTTGTCTTAAAAGACAGAGTCTGCCTATCATCCCTCCTCTTGTCTATTCCCACCTGCGACCTCTGAAATCTCCACCTCAATCATATTTGAAAAGCAGTTCTGACTCTTCACTCCTCACAGAAAGCCAACATCTCCCATCCATTCATCCAAATCCTAGCTTCAAGTCCTCCGCGAAACCATGCATGGGAAACACTGGTTTTCATCCATTCTAAGACACACCATGTTCACATTTTAACATCTCTGAAGTCAGAACATGTCTTTAAATCAACAGGCAAGTTTAATGTTCATTAGTAGCATATTTTTTCTTTCTTAGTGGCGTACAAAATTATAGGGCGTCTTAGGGTGGATCACAGCCAGAGTGGGCACTGCACTGGTCCCCGCGGCATTTGTTCAAAGGTAATTACTATCACGACAAGCTTCAGACAACAATCCCACTTCCAACTTATAAAACTCATGACTGTTTTTAAAGCATCATCTCACCTCATCCATACAAAAAAGAAGAAAGCAGAAGCAATTTCCATGTAAATATCACATTTAAAATGCCATTCACTGTGTTAGGCCCCTGGCATACAATAAAACATGTGATTCTTACAACTCTATGACCCAAGTGGGTTTCAGATAAGGAAATGGAAGCTCAGAGGGCCTGAAGAGATGCAAACAGCGTCACCTCACAGATGTGGGAAAGACCCGCCTGGCAGGACTCTCATTCTATTCCTCATCTTGAGCCTCTCGTGCTGAAGCAGAGCGGCCCTAGACTATCATCAGCTGCTTCTAGAGCCGCTCTCCTTAGAGTCAGACAACAGCTAGGCCACTAAAGACATGGCAATCACCTCACGTTGGCATTGGCTCCACTGTCCAAGAGGAACCTGACCATGTGCTGGTGCCCGGCGCTGGTGCAGTGGAACAGGGCTGTCCAGCCCTGGATGTCTTTCATTTCCAGCTCTGCACCTTGCTTCAAGAGAACACAGAATATGCGTTACGGCCTCATCTCCTCTGTGTGGGGTGGGCGCCCTCCAGGCGGCCATGCTGCAAGAATCAGAAGTGATTACACGAGCACACACGCACACCATGGCCTGCAGTGCTTCGCATCTCTGTCAGGGCGTCCAGGGAGCCCCTCAGGTTTCTGGACCTGAGTTCCCTCGTAGCTCACCTGGAGAAGAAAGTAGGCGATGCTCTCGTTGCCACAGCTGGAGGCCAGCATCAGTGGAGTCTGCCCTTCTGGGGTCGGCACATTCACACTCACCCCCGCCTCCAGCAGCAGGTGCACGATGGTGTCGTGGCCAATGTAGGAGGCATACATCAGCGGGGTCCAGCCACCACCATTCTTCTTATTCAAATCTAACTCTCTCCTAAACAAACGCAAGATACGCTAGACAAGCCCAGCCGCCTCGCATGTGTGGTTTACCAAAGCTGGTGGCGAGGCTAGGCCAGACAGAATGAGCTGACAGGAAACAGAAGTTACCTGCCATCCTGGATGTTGTGGGGGTTGGGGGCAGGTAGGCAGAGAAATGCTGACAGTTGCTCCGACACTGCCTCGTGAGGCCCTGAGCCTTCAGCTCCCTGCTCTGCTTTCACATCCTCCTAGCCCAAGACCAGCTATGCTTTTCTTTCACACCACCAGATAGACAGATGGCACTCAAGCAGGGGATATCAGGCAACATCTGGTAACATTTTTGGTTCTCACAACTGGGCAGGAAAGAGCTGTTGGCGTTTAGCAGGTGGAGGCCAAGGCTATCGTTAAACATCCTACAGTGCCCAGGACAGCCCTCACAGCAAAGAATGATCCACGATGGATTGTCAACACAGCCCAGTTGAAAAACCCCGACCACCACAGGACACGCATCTACCAGCCCAGCGCTGGCTGGACAGGAGCAGATGGGACTCCACTGCCACTGAGTCATCCCTTGTCACCTCACCCTGAAGAAACATTCTTGAGGCTGGGCTCAGTGGCTCACGCCTGTAGTCCCAGCACTTTGGGAGGCGGAGGCGGGCAGATCACCTGAGGTCAGGAGTTCGAGACCAGCCTGGCCAAAATGGAGAAACCTTGCCTCTACTAAAAATACAAAATTACCTGGGAATGATGGCACATGCCTGTAATACCAGCTACTTGGGAGGCTGAGCCAAGAGAATGACTTGAACCCAGGAGGCAAAGGTTGCAGTGAGCTGAGATTATGCCACTGCACTCAATCCTGAGCAACAAGAGTGAAACGGTTTCAAAAAAAAAAAGAAGGCCGGGCGCGGTGGCTCAAGCCTGTAATCCCAGCACTTTGGGAGGCCGAGGCGGGTGGATCACGAGGTCAAGAGATCGAGACCATCCTGGTCAACATGGTGAAACCCCGTCTCTACTAAAAATACAAAACATCAGCTGGGCATGGTGGCACGTGCCTGTAATCTCAGCTACTCAGGAGGCTGAGGCAGGAGAATTGCCTGAACCCAGGAGGCGGAGGTTGCGGTGAGCCGAGATCGCGCCATTGCACTCCAGCCTGGGTAACAAGAGCGAAACTCCGTCTCAAAAAAAAAAAAAAAGAAAGAAAGAAGAAATATTCTAGAAAAATCTGTGATCGGGCTGGGCGTGGTGGTGCACGCCTGTAATCCTAGCACTTTGGGAGGCCAAGGTGGGTGGATCACCTGAGGTCAGGAGTTCAAGACCAGCCTGGCCGTCATGGTGAAACCCCATCTTTTAAAAAAAAAAAAAAAGATAAAAAAAAATTAAAAATTAAAAAATAATAGAAAAATCTGTGATCAAAGAATCCCATCTTTCTCACTGATTCCATTAAAATTCTGAAAATGTATGTTCCTGTGGAAAAAAAAAACTGTGGGGTTCCCAGCTCTGACTTTGGGGTTGGGACAAGGGAGTTACATTTTAAAGTAATACCCATTTGTGGCTGGGCACGGTGGCTCATGCCTGTAATCCCAGCACTTTGGGAGGCCAAGGCAGGTAGATCAAGGGCTCAGGAGATTGAGACCATCCTGGCCAACATGGTGAAACCCTGTCTCTACTAAAAATCCAAAAATTAGCTGGGCGTGGTGGCATGCACCTGTAATCCCAGCTACTCAGGAGGCTGAGGCAGGAGAATTGCTTGAACCTGGGAGGTGGAGGGTGCAGTGAGTCGAGATTGAGCCACTGTATTCCAGCCTGGCAACAGAGCAAGACTGCATTCTCAAAAAAAAAAAAAAAAACCTACTTGCATAGTTACTTGGCATCCTGCACAGTTAACACCCACAGGCCTTTTTTCCCTTCTCCAATTGTTGCCCGCAGTGGGGGTAACAACTGGTGATCAAACCCCAGGATTTGTGCCTCTAGTGGGATTCTCTTATTAGACCACACAAGGCAACTACTTTCCTGACATGCCCCAGTGACTCTAGGATGCATGCCCAGGGAGCCATTCCAGAAGGTCCTGATACCAGGGTGCAGGGGCAGCTCCTGGCCAGTGGAGCCATGTGGAGATGCTTCTGCAGCAGGGCTGGAACACACCCAGCTCGTCCTAACACTGTCTTCCTTTACACAGCAGCACAGCATCTCTCTGGGGCTCTCTCACTACTCCCCATTCAGCCCTACCCCCTCTTCTGATGCCCCCAGCTCCCCTCATGCCCCATCCTGTGCTTACTGTCGGCGAGCCTCTGCTTCAGGTACTGTCGAAATCCCATTAGAACACAAACACCTCCCCCTGCTCTTCTGTGGAGCTGTTCTGGACTCCGCATCTTAACAGGACACCCGAAGACTTAAGAGCCCGAGAATTCCAAATGTGGCCCTGTGAGGGGTCACACTGACTACATATCCAGCTGCGTGTGCCTAGAGCCTCCTGTGGAGGGGCCACTACAGACCACCCTGTATCAAGGTGCCCCAGCGCTCCATGGGCTGGGTATGTCTAAGTGAGGGCCACAACTTGGGTACCGGAGACCTGGGGCTGTAGCAATGCTTTGCTTTGGCTCACCAGGAACTGGAAGAGGCAGGTGGAGATAGGGAGAGAGGTTGTTGCACCACAGTATCAAATGAGAACCGACAGAAAGAGGAAGCACAGTATGTGTAGAACATAAGGGGGTGGAGGGCAGGAGACCCTTTTCCAAAAACAAGATGATCACATCCTACTACAGGCAAGATGCAACTGTGGGCCCTCCCAGGGGCTTTTTGTCTCTAATTATTATGTACAGATTAGTAAACGGCAGGTAGGCAGTGAGGTCAGGAGGCCATTCCCCCGAAGTGCTAAAAGTTCGGCCTCTCTCCTCCTTCATGGCAGAAGCTAGAGGGGAACAGTGATGGAATGAACAGTCCAGGAAAAGAAGGCCAGGGAGGCATCACTTTCTTTTTTCTTTTTTTGAGATGGAGTCTCACTCTCTTGCCCAGGCTGAAGTGCAGTGGCACAATCTTGGCTCACTGCAACTTCTGCCTCCCTGGTTCAAGTGATGCTCCTGCCTCAGCCTCACGAGTAGCTGATTACGGGTGCCTGCCACCACACCCAGCTAATTTTTGTATTTTTTTTTTTTTTTCGAGACGGAGTTCCACTCGTTACCCAGGCTGGAGTGCAATGGCGCGATCTCAGCTCACAGCAACCTCCGCCTCCTGGGTTCAAGCGATTCTCCTGCCTCAGCCTCCTGAGTAGCTGGGATTACAGGTACGCGCCACTGTGCCCAGCTAATTTTCTGTATTTTTAGTAGAGACAGGGTTTCACCATGTTGACCAGGATGGTCTCGATCTCTTGACCTCGTGATCCATCCGCCTCGGCCTCCCAAAGTGCTGGGATTACAGGCTTGAGCCACCGTGCCCGGCCCTAATTTTTGTATTTTTAGTAGCAATGGGGTTTCACTATGTTGTCCAGGCTGGTCTCAAACTCCTAACCTCAAGTGACCCACCCACCTTGGCGTCCCAAAGTGTTGGGATTACAGGCATGAGCCACAGAGCCCGGCCATCACTTTCCATCTTTTATCTTTATTTTGCTTGTTTGAGCATTTCTGCAACCAGTGAATAAAATTACTCTGGCTAAAGAATGACTATCTACAAGCTTCTGATACAAGTTTATACCCTCGTTTTCCTCCTAGGAATAAAAACTGCCTCTTTGTCAGTCCCCAGCATAATTACTGACAGCTGCCTGAGATAACCAGCTTAACCTACTCCACAAGCGTTAAACATCCACAAATGTGTGCAAAGCTCCATCACACGAGATTCGAAGCCATCACTGGGCTACTCAAAATGTGAGAGAGAAGTTCCCCTAGATCTCTTACCGCTGCACGCAATCCTTAACCACTTCATACTGGCCAATGGAGGCAGCTGTGTGAAGATCCAGGGGGACGTCCAGCTCCTCCTGGCTAACCTGCGCCCCTAGCCCATGCCACATGGACAAGCTGCGGTTCAGGAGTTCAGGCTCGCTGGCTTCATCACTGAGCTCGGACATCACTGTGGAGGAAGGCCAAGGGTTAGATCTTTCCTGGCTGGCTGTTCCACGGCATGCAACAGGCTGGTCCTGCCCCTGCTATGCCACTACCCTAGCAGACTGATAACCCAACGCAGTCAATCCTGGGAGTAACTTAGTCAAGTTTCTTTGCTTAAACAGTGTATGGTTTAGGTAGTCCCATCAATGCTAAATCTGGTGAGCTTGTTACCACACAAAAGAAAAGAGGGGTACATATGGTGAGGCATTAACTGTAGAGTACGTTCTCCTCCTTCCATCCGCAGGCACCAGGTAAAAGAGAATTTTCCATCAACTCTAGGAAGCTGACAACCTCTTAGATAGGCAGTAAAGAAATACTAATTGGGTTATTTAACCAAATCAGCTCCTTGATGTGGTGGGGAAGAACCCTGAATTTGGAGGTAGATCAAAATTCAGCTCGAGCCAGGTGCAGTGGCTCATGCCTATAAACCGAGCACTTTGGAAGGCCAAGGCGGGCGGATCACCTGACATCAGGAGTACAAGACCAGCCTGGCCAACATTATGAAACCCCGCCTCTCCTAAAAATACAAAAATTAGCTGGGTGTGGTGGCACACGCCTGTATTCCCAGCTACTAGGGAGGCTGAGGCAGAAGAATCACTAGAACAAGGGAGGCGGAGGTTGCAGTGAGCGGAGATTGCACCATTGCACTTCAGCCTGGGCAACAGAGCAAGACTTCATCTAAAAAAAAAAAAAAAAACAGCTCTGCTCCTTAGCACTCCAATCCCTAGTGCCTCACTGTCTAACGAGGTCATGATATCTAAAAAAGCTGCTATTACAACACACGGAAAAATGGATAAACTGTGGCACATCCGTATAATGGATGCTACTCAGCATTAAGCACAAGGATCCAACAGTTGACAAGCAACACATGAACAGATTTCACACTTTACGCTAAATGAAAGCCTGCTTACCACATAATTTCACTTAGGTGACATTCTGGAAAAGGCAAAATTAAAGGGTTGAGGGTTGGGGCAAAGAGAGAATTTGGGGGATCACAGACCTCTTCTGCATGGTTGTAACGGTGGATCTGTGACTATATGCCTTTATGAAAACCCACAGAACTGAACACCAAAATAAATTTTACTGTAGGTAAATTTTACTTATTTTTTTGAGACAATCTCGCTCTGTTGCCAAGGATGGAGTGCAATAATGTGATTTCAGCTCATTGCAACCTCTGCCTCCTGGGTTCAAGTGCTTCTTGCGCCTCAGACACCTGAATAGCTGGGATTACAGGTGTACACGATCATGCCAGGCTAATTTTTGTATTTTTAGTAGAAACAGGGTTTCACCATGTTGGCCAGGCTGGTCTTGAACTCCTGACCTCAAGTGATCAGCGTGCCTCAGCATCTCAAAGCGCTGAAATTACAGGCATAAGCCACCTCATCTGACCTGTAAATTTTAAATATCAATTAATTTTTCTAGGCCGGGCGTGGTAGCTTACACCTGTAATCCCAGCACTTTGGGAGGCCGAGGCGGGCGGATCACGAGATCAGGAGATCGAGATCATCCTGGCTAACACGATGAAACCCCGTCTCTACGAAAAAATACAAAACAAATTACCTGGGCGTGCTGGCACACGCCTGTAGTCCCAGCCACTCGGGAGGCTTAAGCAGGAGAATCGTTTGAACCTGGGAAGCGGAGGTTGCAGTGAGCCGAGATCGCACCACTTCACTCCAGCCTCGGAGACAGAGCGAGACTCCGCCTCAAAAAAAAAAAAAAAAAAAAAAGTAACTGAAAAAGTATAGAGATTGTTTGCAACACAAAGGATAAATGCTTGAAGGGTGGAGACCCCATTTTACATAATGTGATTCCTACCAACCACAGGCCTATAACAAAACTTCTCACACCATGAAGGTATACACCTACTACGGACCCACAAAAATTCTAAATAAAAAATCGTAACAAATGTGACGCTGGGGGTTAGGTGTCACGCCCACAGAGGAGGTCTGTGAAAGCCCCTGGGCACCCTGTCTCGCCCGGTGGAACCGCAGCGGGCACCGGCGCATCCCAAAGCTCACTGACTGGCCCTGGGTCGGCTCCCTGGCCGACAGCCCCAGAACTCACAGCTGTGACGCTTCCCGACGCCCCCCGGCCGCATACCCACAGGAGCCTTACGGGGCACTGGGCACTATCGTCCCATTCCACAGCAACATAAAGAAATGTGGGCGCCCGATGCTCCAGTCACGGCGGCGCGGGGCTCGGTTCTACAGTCACGCGGCGAGCAAGTGCAGCTCTGGACGCTGGAGCGCCGGGCCTACGCGGGCTGCAGGTGCTGGCAAGCGGGTGGAGCCGGGCCGCCGCGGAACCTACCTGTGGCTGGGCCTCAGCCTCGCGCCGCCCTCGGGCCACAGCCGCCAGACCCGCGAGCCGCTTGTCCGCCAAGCTCCCTGGCTGGGCCGCCACCCCCGTAGCCCGCCCCGGAAGTAGTTTGCGAGAGGGCGCGGAGCACGTCAGGAAGCTCGCTGGTCCACGCCGGGGCAAGCTCGCGGGCCCAGTGGAATGAGCACGTTCCGCATCCGGACCTTCCGGTCTGCTCCCGGCTCGTTATACGATGCCCGCGTCAGCCAATGAGCAAGGTGTGTTTGTCCTGCCCCGCCCCTGCCCTGGCCAAGGAAACCAATCCCGTTGCAGGAGAGGCTGGAACGCGCAAAGGCCGGAAAGAGGGGGTGGGGGGAACTTGGGGACACTCCAATAATGTAATGCTCTGCTGAGACCAAGACTTCCGATGAACGGAACAGCCGCTGTAATTTGCGGCACGACTCGTGGGGCGGAGGCGACCGGGAGTGACGCGCTGAAGGCTGTTTACGGCCGTGCCAGGACCTCGCAAGGAGTGGAGTGAGAGGCCTGAGGTGAGGGGCCTCGAACCTGCTGCGGCTACAGGGAGTTGAACAAAACATGGGGAAACACGGGCTGGGGGGTGGGTGAGACGCGGAAGCGATGAACTTTCTACTTCCACAGCTTTAAAATTTAAAATCTCGACCCGGGAGGCCGTTGGCGTCTAGTTGCCATAACAACACGGCAGCCTCGTGGCAGGCGGGCCAGGGCGGGGCTCTGGGGACGGGGCGGGGCTAACAGGCTGAAGCTGAGAAACCAACTCCGAGACGGAGCGGAAAGGCAGCTATTCAGTAGGTGATGTTTACTGAATGCGCTGAGGCTCCTCAACTTGGCGTTCATGGCCCTGCATTGTCTGGTCGTTTTCAACCGCAGA